GCCGGAGCAGAGGGTCCCCGGCAGCCCATGGAGCTCCACGGGGAAGCGGATCTCCACCCGCACCTGGGGAGAGCCCCACGCCAGAGCAGGGGAAGGGTGTGAGGAGTCCTGCCCCTGAGGAGGAGGAAGGAGTGGCAGAGACAGCGTGTGATGAACTGACCACAGCCCCCACTCCCCGTCCCCCTGCGCCGCTCGGGGGGCAGGAGGGAGAGAAATCGGGAGTGAAGTTGAGTCTGGGAAGAAGGGAGAGGTGTGGGGAAGGTCTTTCAAGATTTGTTTTTTCTCCTTACCCTACTCTGATTTGTCAATAAATTAAGTTAATTTCCCCAAACTGAGTCTGCTTTGCCCGTGACAGTAACTGGTGAGGGATCACTCCCTGTCCTTATCTCAACCCACGAGCTTTTCATTATATTTTCTCTCCCCTGTCCAGCTGTGGAGGGGAGGGACAGAGCAGCTTCGGTGGGCACCCGATGTCCAGCCAGGGTCGATCCACCACAATGGAAATGGTTGTCATTGCTCAGTCCTGATATGTTTCTCAAAGTAAATTTGTTCTTGGGAACATCTCTTTGTGAACACACCTAAGCTATGAATTAGTTACAGACTAAGAGACTTCCTTTCCTGAGCGCGACCCTTTGCTGCAGCTTCTTGGCAAACCCCCACAGGCCACCTCGTTCCTGGAGGGTGAGCGCAGCACCTTGGGGGGCACAGCACCGCTCAGCAAGAGACAGTTTGGATTCCCCTTTCCAAGAAAAGAAGAGAATATTAAAAAAACCAGGAACAACCTCACGAGAAGACAGATACACAGAAAGCAATTCTAGGCAATTTAAGGCAGTTACTGCAGTAGCTGCGTACCAGCACAGCCGTCGGACCCAGCCAGGGCTGATGAACGGAGGACACATCACGCCACGTCCCCACTGCTGCCCAGGCACTGACGTGGCCTGCCCGACTGGAGCACTTCCCTGCTCAAAGCCCGGTCGTTAAGGGTGTGATCGCTCTCTCCCGCGCAGGGCTCGGGGGCTGGCTGGCAAACACCTCAGGAGAGCCGGCAAAGGGATCCGGCTAGGGCCGACCCCGCGATGGCTGTCCCCCCGGCCTGACGTCAGGTGTAATTGCTTTCCAGAGGTGACCAGCAGAAAGGGGCACTGCTAACCCAGCCCGTTAGCTTTGTTCTACCTAATGCCAATCATTTTGTTTTGTCTGTGAGCAACAAGTAGAAAGCAGAAGGAAAGTCAGTGTATATAACTCTAATTTCATGGAAGTTAAAAATAATAATAATAAAAAATCCGTGCGACCCGCAACAGCCTTCACTAACAGAAAGCAAATGTTGCAAGAAGCCAGCGTGTCTGTGCTTGGTGCTGCTCTGAAAGATTCCCCCAGCTCCCAGCACGGCTCCTGCACGAGCCTTCCTTGCTGTGAAACCCCTTCAGTAGGTGGCTCTGGAAGTGCAGCCGTCCTGCTACTGGCATCTAGAACAGTGTCTGTCAAGGCATTTTCTTTGTTTACTTCAAAATATTTTTAAAAATATATTTTTAGAAATAATTAATACTATTTATTTCCCTGGCAGTGGAACGTGGAGCACAGCCTGAATTGCATAGCTTGGCCAAGTCTTTTCTGCCCACTACAATCTCATTTATTTAAATGTCTCTGCTGAGTTTCTTGCGGCAAACTTTCCCGGTGGAGAACTCTGAAGCATCTACACAACGGAGGAGCAGTGCTTCCTATCAAGCTCAGCAGCCTTAATGTGTGCTTCCCCACTAGAGCAACATTTATCAGGACAACATGACCGTCAGGCTGACTGCTAGAGGGAAGGATGGATAAGTTAGGTTTTACCCAATGGGGCTCACAAATTCTCAAAAATGCTTTCATCTGCAGGGGGTAAACAAATGTTATTTTGTGAAGAAAACACTGAAAACTCCTCAGGAAGAAAGCGTATTATGTAATTGCAAAGGTTGCCGAGTGGTAAGGCAAGGTGCTGCGTGGAGCACAGCTACACATGAACGGTGAATAGGAAATGCTAAGATGGGAACACAGGTGTGTGCATGTTGGTACGACTGCTTATCGGGGCTGTCGTCAGAGGTCCGTCGTCGTGCGTATGAGGCCCTCCCTTGTTAAGAAATACTGGAGTGCCATTTGTTCAGCCGTGCGAGGATGTAGGTTTTAATATCTTTATTAATGTGCGACTTTGACGTACAGAGTAGTGACAACCATAAAATTGTTATACATCTATGCATGTATTACAACAGCATAGGCTCTAGGTAACTGGGAGGTCACTCTGCAAACCCACTGCTAGGGAATGATTCCTGATACTTTGCCAAAAAACTTTATTAATCACCGTCTTAGGTCTCCTAGTTACCTTTGGCAGACCACCCCTTGTGTTCTCTCCTTTTCATCAACACTTGCAGCCTTCAAAGGCTTGCAAAGTTCCCGCCTTGCCGCACAGCCCAGCGCCTGCCGCACGCTTTGTGAACAGTTGAGTCTGTTACCCTGAACATCAGAAGGCTGAACTTTTGTCAATCACCATCTTCGCAATTGCAATATTAAGAGGGGGGAAAAAAATATCAGAACCTCCTTCAGAGCAGCAGCCCTTTAAACTACAAAAGGCTGGAGTCATGGAAAGAATAATGAGCAGATCATATTTTGTTAGCAGAATTTTAATCCCGAAATCAAACAAGATCAGGGGCTATTCTGCATGGAGAACACAAGGGGCTTCAGCTTGCCCTCCGCCTCGGCAGAGGGAGCCTGCTAGTGCTCACTGTGATTTTTTCTCCTAAAAGACCCTTGCTCCCTTGCGCCTTGCACAGGAAATTTAGGGAGGTGGCATGGGCTAGTGCAAAAAAAAGCAAGCAAACAGGAGACCTCAAGTTAATCCTGGCTCTGCTGCTGACAGGCAGCAGGATTACTTTGCTTGCCCAAGTCTACCTTGGACTATCAAGTGCTGTCTTAAGCTAGTAGTTAACTTTTGGAGCTTCGTGTAGAAAGGTGTTTCTTCTTCTTAGAGGACTTTTAGTGGAATGAAACCCCCTCATTTGAGTGAGGGAGCAGGCTGGGTTATTCCAGGTTCTGCTCTTGAAGCTCCCGATGTGTGATAAACTAATCCAGCGCGCTGCCTAAATTGCCAGTAGAGCTGCTTGGTACACAGGAAGGGACCCAGACCAGTCTCCCACCAACCCCTGCTGCTCCGCTTAACCATGTCACAACTCAAAACATCTCTGCCTAATGCTGTGGCTGCCTTCCTGGAGAAAAACCTCACATTCCCCACTGCCTAGTACTGACATGCCTTAAAAATCAGAGGACCTGCAGCAGAAGTCTCCCAGTCACTACCATCTGATGACAGGCTCAAGTTAACGCTTGACTCCTGATATGGCTTTGCAATCCCATTTCTCAACTCTAACAATTAGATAACATTGAGCATTTACAATTCCACTGTGGGACAGCCACTTCTTATCCTTAGCAGTCACCAATTTGCAAGATCCCCAAGGCCATCAAAGGGATTGAAGCAGAGAGTGAAACCTGGAGAAAAGGGTATGAATTTGAAATTCAGAGCATATCTGATACCCTGTAAATAACAAGTCTGATTCTGTGAAACCACGGGCTGACATCACTTTACGTATCAATGCCTATTCAGGGAAGGCTGTCTGCTTTGCAACAGAAATGTGTGTTGAGAGGGTAAAAAACCAAAAACCAGCAAGGATGAAAGCAAGAAGAATGAAAACAGTTGCAGATACAAAGCAGAGAAAATGATTTATAAGTGCTCATGCAATTTCTGCTTTGTCAAGACTGATCTTTTCAGGTACTCCTTCTTTGTCTCGTGTGTATTTCAAACACAGAAAAGGTTTAGCTGGAAGGAAGCCAGTATCCAGCCTCAGGCAATGATTAGTGAATCCATTTGGAGCAGCACACTTATCTTTGACAGACAGAGAGATTTCCAGGAGTCAAGATATATTGGCAGCTTTCAGAATCAGAGACTGGAAATTTACAGCCCAAATCATACTGAGCCCAGCTACCAACAGGCACACACATACTGGCACAAAGTCTTCAGACTCATATTTTCTTGCAGCCAGGTCTGAGGGTTCATATCTGTAATTTTATTATCCTTTGCTCACTCTCGCACATGCAAAGCTTCTCTCCATATAGTTTACGTTTTACCAGGAAAGTCTGGGACAGGCAGGCAGGCAAACTAACACAGCACCGCACAAAAGGCAAATTGCTGCTTGCAAAGCCAGAATCATCAACCCCCTGTATTCAGTTAACTCGTTAAGACCTACTTCAGCTACCAGATTTGAAGCACTGAGCCATCCATTCGCGTAGGAATGACAGATCGATACCTTATCTAGAGGCTGATTAGCTCTGAGGATGAAAGCAATTAAAGAAAGTGCCCCAACACTACGTACAGAAGACAGTCCGGGGGAGGAGCGGACTCTCACGTACCTGAAGCCCTGAGGACAGACGCAGGTGTAGCCATTGACTGCATCTACGCAGACAGCTCCATGGCGACACTTATGGCCCACACAGTCATCATCATTTATTTCACAGTGTTTTCCACTGTAACCTGGCAAGCACTCGCATCTGGAACGCAAGAAGATCGCTGTTAATAGCTTGTTTCAACATTCACAACAACAGCACACGCAGGCAGCCTAGCACCGATCTGATTCGAGATGGAAAGGTGTTAGCAGTTATTCCTGGAAACATCAAGCACAGTTCCTGCCATCAGAAATGCTCAAGTCCCTCCTGTATGTCTGCAGCTGAGGTTCTGCAATCTGCTTAAATTCAAGCCGAGCAAAGCAATACCATACTACTGCTTTTCCTCAGCCAAGCCTGTGGAGAAGGGCGATCATATAGCAGTCTCACAAATGCTAAAGATGACAACATCTTCCCTAGCCTTACAGACTGAAAAGGCAATATTCTGCAAGGGCAGTTGCTCTGGTGTCTCAGACTCTGACTTTGCCAATGTCCGCACGCTGCTGAGTGTCTGAGGTTGGCCCTATGCAGCTACATAGAGCACAGTAAGGTTCCACCTTCCAAATGGAAGCAATCTGCAAGCAAGCCATAAAACTCATCAAATTTAAGAAAAAGACCGTCAGTTTTGACACCACCACCTGTTTGCCATTCATCTGCAAGGCATAGCAAATGTTGCTGCAGCTACGGAAAGTTGCCGTTAAGCCTTGTTCTTTCCCGTGGTGAGACTCAGGCGAAGCATCTACCTGCTGCTATGGGATAACGCCATTCACAGGAGCAACGCAATGGGATGCACCCAAACCTGCAGACATTGGCTTTTTATTCTATTTTATGCAATTCTCAAGTTTGTTGTACAAAGGCTGCATCAGCATTTCTGTTATAAGCCTTGCAGAAGTTAATAACCTGACAGTAGAAAATGCATCGCGAAGTCTCTGACGTGGAACAGATCTTTTGGGATTGCTGAACAGCCTCTTTTTGAACCTATAGTGTAGACAATGTTTAGTCATGAACACGCTTTAGTCCATAAAACATGCTTTACTCCTCCCAGCTGGATGTTACTGCACATCTGCTAAACAAAAGGCCTATCACTTCAACCAAAACAAGGGAAGAGCTACAGTTAACTTCAGCAATAAAAGAGAAGTCTGTGCTCTTGCTAGAGCCCCTTGTTTGGACCCGGCGTGCTTGCCATCAAGGGCTGGAAGAGAAGAGACTTTAGAAACTTGAGGGAGGCGGCGTCAGATGGGAAACTACTGCTCCACCAACCTATTCTGCTGGCCTCCTCCTCCTCCTCCCTGCCAGCAGCCTGGTGGGGCAAGTGCAGGAGGAGGCTCCTTGTGGAAAACCTCTTCAGAGGCGGGAGCTGATGAGGAAAGGTATTGCCACTTCCCAGGCAGCCGTCGGTGTGCTGAGTCTGGTTCCGAGTGACAGGGTATTTTGGCTCCTGGCCGCTCCCCAGCTCGTCAGGGCAAGGCAGCGAGTTGGGTGAAAGTTGCCGGAGTGCAACGGCAGGTCCTGTGCGTGCTAACGCCCAGTGCACGGCTGCCACCGCGCCGGGGCCTCAGCACCCACCTCGCTCAGGCTCCATTTCAAAGCACGGCTTGTGACTGGCTAAATGAGGAGGAAGGAGGGCAAAGCCTATCGTGGGCTGTCGGATGGAGAACGTTATGTAGTTGCATATACTTTCTTTCTCCATCCTCCCTACAGGAGAGGCCCCCATCATGACCCCCGCAGCCCCGGGATGGTTGATGTTCCAGCTCTGCACGCCTGAATTGCTTTTTTACACCTTGGTGGCTCAGGGAATACGGTGATTAACATAACGGAGATGACAAAACAGAGCAAAAAGCAAAAAGTGTTCCTTCCCCAAGCCATAAGAAGTGGGCAACATTTTTTGGCAACATTTTAGTCACACCTGCAAGCAAATAATGTCAATCAAAAGACTTTGTGGGGGGAATTGGCAGCATTTAATCCTGTTGCTTTTTATTGATCCCTGCAGTCCTAATATAAAGTGATGTAATAATGAACGATGTGCAGTTCCTTATTCAGGGCTGCCATGCATCAATTTTATGATGTGTATTGGCTATCTTAGTAATGACAGAACCACCACTTTTCTCTGCAGGGCTGCATTAAATCAGCATTTTAAGCTGTCAGGTAATAATTCCAAGCTTTAGAATAATAAAGTATATTTATACCATGCTCCAACATCAATACAGTGAATGGAAAAACATGCTCCTTTCCTGAAGTTATTTTTTTTAGAAGTCATTTCATTGTGTTAAATGGTATTTTTTTTCCTCAATATTGTTTTGTTTTGTTTTCTGGCATACAGAAAGCTACTCTTCTTCTATAGTAACAGCACAATAAAGATGTGGAGGCTGGAAGTGAGGAAAGCCACCTGCAATTTTAGCTTAGAAAGCACATAGCTCTGTCAGCCAAGCACACACTGAAATAGTCCAGTTTGCTTCCAAGCCTGGCTTTCCCTTTAGAAACATGGAATTCCTTTTGGGTCAGTCATCTCTGAGCTCTTAGAGAGTCACCTCTAGGCTGAAGCTACAAAAAAATGCATGCCTGGAGCGCAGCAGGTGACAAACGCGGCCACATGAGTGCCTTGCCCAGCCTCCCCCCAGAAACCTAAGGTCTCCCTCCCCAGGGAATGATGGCACATTAGCTCCATCCCGATCCCACATAGTGCCAGCAAGTGACTGAGTATCAGTAAGGAGGCAAAGAAACTCTCCTATTCAGATCCTCGTAAGAGAGTAATTTATGCCATTAGATCAGTTATCTCATTTCCCAGTGACCATCTGACACCAGTACAGTTGAAATCTTGTTTTCTGCTACAGCCTTGTAGTGATGGCAACATTCCCAGTATCAGAGAGCGCCTAAAAACACGTCTAGTGGTATTAAAATGTTGGCCTATCCGACGGGATTTGCATCTGCATGCACTCAATGTCTATTGTATTAAAGCCGTGAATCATGGCTTCTATTGCAGGGCCAGAATGGAATTTCCCTCCCCATATCAATAAATAACTTGGCTTCCTATTTTTTTCCTGTCTTTGTCATCTTTTCCTCCCTCTGCAGAGCTGCAGACCAACTAGAGCTGAAGGCAGGAGAGACAGAGCGACCCGTGTCCTTGCTGCTATGATAGTCCTCACTGGTGTGTCCTACTCACATGCCCAGGGCACAAGCCTAACGAGAGGATGGTCAGCTCAGGAACAAGCCTGACTCCTGCCTTTAATATTCCCCACCCCTCTGAGCCGAGCAGAGGACTGGTGCATGAGCCGGACTTGTTCTGCAGGTGGCATTACACTGCGCCATTATGTGCTAAATGTACGGCACATCACAGGTCAGGGGATCAAACCGCTCAAGGGCTCAGCAACAGTACAGGACTGGAGGCTGTTGTTTTTGGTGAGACCCAGCAGCAACCACACATCCCTGCAAAAGCTGCTGAGGGCTCTCAGCCCATTTATGAATGGTTTAGTGCAACTGAATTATGAAAGAAAAAGGAATTCTTGGATAAATCTACATTCAAGGCTGGGCAGTCTCCTTCACCTCTCAAGTCTGGCCTGCTAGAAAGCAAAATGGGACAGAAAAAGTAAAGAAATTCTGAATTTTTGTGTAGCATTCTATGAATAGTGGGAAGAATAACGTAACGCACAGTAGTAGAAGATACTTACAAGTAGTTACTTAGGCTCCCCTCAAGGGTTAATGGCCCCACTGTGAAGAACACTTTTCTAGCAAGCAAGCAAGAAAAAGTGTCTTATTTACTCAAATGATTTTTGTGGCAGGTGTGAATATGCTTCCAGCAAGGGTAAAACCATTCAGGACCACAGCTGTCTGCATCCCTTCATACATCTAGCAACATAAGGTAATTTGAGTTACAAGCCTTTGCCTCATAACATGATGTAGCTACTGGATTAGCTGAATGACGGATTAACTAGGAATGAAAGCTGGGAGGAACATCAGGGACTATTTAGGTATCGGTACACACCTCCTTATCCAGTCCCTGTGCATCATTTCAGGAACTGTCCTAGTCATTTAACGATTTCATCTTCCTCAGGAGTTGGAAACATTTCTGTCCGGAGGTTTTTCACCCAAAAGAAAGGCTTGAGTTGTACAGACTGACTGTCTGGCAGAGATTCAGCTGCCCTCTAGATAGCCAGCATCTCTAAAATTTTTGTTCACTTCATTTGAACTATCCTGAAATGTTCTGTGTATTAGTTTACGCTACTCTGACATGCCAGCTGCTTCACAGGACACAATCGGACACCAACTGCAAGTTACCAGGGAGACCAAGGAGTGCTACCGTCTCTCCTCCACGACGTGCTGGGCGAGGGCATCCCTCCCCAAAACCACAGCCCTCCCTCCCAGGAGGGAATTGGTGAGGCCCCAGGATTGCATCGTGGCTGTGAAAACAGCCTTAGTGTAAAGAGCAGAATGCAGCTCACACTGCACTGAACTCTCTTGAATTTGTCCTCCTTTCTTACATCTTTGATGCAAAGACCTTTTCTTGACAAACTTTCCGTAGAGCTTGACTTTTCAATTGACTGTCTCTGTTGCTCTGAAATTCCCTGTTCAGACAAGTGACGGATGCTGCTACTATGCACCTCTCTAAACACCCCAACTCTCTTTTACTGCCATTTAAAACATGAGGCTTTACTTTGCCCCTGTGAAACAGTCAGCGCCATTCCCAATACGCAAGTGCAAACACAGGAGACTTCACAAAACCTAACATGAGCCGAGCCAGGCTCGCCTCTACAGCCAACGGAAGAAGGCGGCTCCCGAGTGAGAGGCGTCCAGTTCAGTTGTCTTCTGCGGCCGCCCAGGTGAGGAAGTGTGGGGAGAGGAGCCCCACTGTGGTCAGGGCCAGCCTTTGCCAGCGCACCCCAAGACCGCCAGCCATCCTGGAAGACAACAGCTGAAGTGGGAATACAACCGAAAACTGCCGACCTGCAGCGTTATGCTCTGGCCACGTTTACCTTTCCCTTCTCAGCAGCTAGAATGGGGACTGGATCTTAAACACTGAGCCAGCATGGGCAGAGGGGAGCTGAGTTACATCTGTTAAGGCTCCTGTTATGATGCTTGAATTGATTGATGCCCTAAGGAACACATAAAGAAACTGTCCTTAGTTTCTGAGGCAGGATAAGATACTTTGCAGTAATTGTTCCAGAAGTAATCCTTTTGTCACGCTCTATTCCAGAATAATTTCTCTGCTCTGGGGGTACATCCACTATTTTCAAGTAAACAAGCTAGAAAAGTACGTATGGTTGCATCAGAATTAAAATGTGACACAGCGTGAAGCATATATAGTCTTGCACTATTTGCCTTCATTTTGATGATTTTTACCCCGAACTCATTGCCAGTTCAGCTTTAGTCAAGCCAATGGATGGATCCGCCCAGTGTGTGGAGACCAATACACACACACGCTTACCTGGTTCCTTTGTCAAGGGGAAGACATTTGGACTCGTGTTGGCACGGATTTAGATCAGGAACACAGTGGTTAATCACCTCATCACACAGTTCACCTGAGGCAAAAGAAAAGCAATAAAGCTGTAACACAGCTTGGACAATCCTGAAGCAGCTTCAGCCATGATGTTTGGGGATGGGAAATCTTCCTAAATGGAGACAGCTCAGTAGATCAGCAGGAGGCGACACTATTCCTTGCGAGGGCACGTGAGACTTCACTAAATTGGGCTCCTTTGACCTATACTGACTGTACTGTTTCTATCACGTGAATTTGAAAGGCTGGTATAAAACGGAATGACATATAAACTCCACTTGGAGACAGACTAAGGATCAAATGGGCAGTTCCTGACCCAGAAATTCTTACATCAAAGCAAGACAGCGACACAAAAGCGAAGTTGCTCGTTAGACCGTTAACATTTTCACACTGAAACATATTTTAGCCGTAGTTAATACGCTGCCAAAGAAGCTGATTGGACATCATTCTGGAAAAGAACAACAACCCACAAACCCACCCCCAAAACCTCTGCGACTCTCAATAATAGGAACCAGCTTTAGGACTGCATGCAATTATAAAACATTCACTATTTATAAGAAAAGTACTAGCTCTACTGTGCTCACAGGAGATTATGTCTTTTCAGAAAGAAAAACATCACATGTAAGCTCAGCTCAGCTGTTTCTAGGTATGGTGTGTTACATGCCATGCACCTCCCTGGATTTGTATACATTTTAATAATTAATAGTTCTAGAATGTTCAAAACCAGATAGTTTATTTAAATACCACGCTTCTCCGAGTCCTAAATTATTAGGTCACACTTCAGTACCCCAGGATTTGAGATCCAGCCAAAGACCACAGAAATCTTTGCCTTCCCAAGAAACCAACAGAAACCTACCCCACACCTCCCAAAGCCTTGCAGGAAAAGCAAAGGTCAGGTACCCTCTGCACGGAAACCCCCAAAAGCCACAGTCCCGAAGTCCCCTGTGCGGCTACATCAGAAGACCACGTCTGCGGGGTTTCAAGGTTAGGGATATTTTGTGTGCCTATACACGATCCATACCATCACATGAGCTACAAGCCATGTGGATAGTGTGGGAAAAAGGGTAACATGGGAGGCACGGGTGGGCTGGCAATGTTGTAGCGGTATTTTCACGAAGCTGCAGCTCCACCTGCCTTGGGAGAAACCCCACTTTCGAAAATCCTTACATTTCTTAACTCTAGTGGCTACAGAGAAACACTTGAAGACACAAGCTGAGCAAACCCCAAAGATCAAAATTCAGATGGAAAATGCAAATCAGAACTCTGTCCTTTATCAGTCTTGTGATCTGGCAGGGATGACCGAGAGCACAATTTTGAGGATGACTCTGGTGGTGACGGGTATGGTTTCAGTTGCTAACACCCCCAGCTCACTCCTTCAGCTTGTTTCTCCCACATCTCCAGCCTCCCTACAGTACAAACTACACAGCTTTTTATTTGACTCTTCATAGTAGAATGGAAGTATAATATGTATTTGCAAAAATTACTTTTTTGTTTGTTTCAAACATGGAACATCTTATATATCTGCTTTTGAGAATTGTCAAGCATAAGTGAGAAAGTGGAGCAAGAATACAAGTCCTGGAAGCATGGAGAGGGTACTACCAGCATAAACCCTGTATTCATGTGCCACACACACCCTCGTGACCTTTAGTGCGCTGGGTTCACTGGAGAAATCTGGCATGGCAATCTGCAGTGGACAGTTTATGGTTCACAGTGTCAGTTGTAAGACAACCAATTCCATCCGGAGCCAAGCAATCCCAGAAAGCCACCACTATTAAATACTACCAAGTCATTTTACAGCCCTGGACAAATCTTGGGCAAATGTAATGAATGCATCCAGCTCAGAAAGAGGGACGTGCCACTGAAATTGAGTGCTGCAAATCCATGGGAACCAGGGAAACAGGTCATTCACTGGGCTGAGGTTTGCCATTGTACTTTGTTACTCCTCAAAAGCAACTAGAGACATTCAAGTCTAACAAATGTGAACACAGCTCTCACTGGGGACAGCTATTAACACATTTTTGAGGCGGCGGAATTGGAGACAGGTCTGCTTACTAAGCGATCCCCAAATCCACAGCCCACCAGCCCTCGCAAACACTAACAGGCAAAGCGACTCCCTCGGCCTTTGGGCAGAGGCGAACGTGAGCAGGTCAGAACTTGCTAGGATGCCTGGACAACTGCCAGTGCGTCGTCTCGGTATTCCTCACGTCCCTTGTGTGCTATGAATCTTATGTGAAAATAAACACGAAAAAAAAAGTAACTGGCTGGTGACATTGAAAGAACTCAATGATCTAAAGCTGGAAATATTTTTGGAAGACCATTTAATAACTGAATACAGCGTGGATAGATGCTTTCAACTATCCTTTCACTAAAAATGGTCAATACATACTTTTGAAGTTTTTATTTCTTTTTTTTTTTTCCTGTTGTTTTGAAGAAAAGGAAACAGGCTTTAAAAAAATTAAGAACAGTTTCATAAACTCTCAAAGGAAATCATAATTCTTCTTAAAGTATTCTTCTCAACAGTCTTGACAAGTGCTTAGAGATCCAGTAAAAATTTCTCCAAATGTCAAATATTATGACTCACTGTGTCATTCTGAAGGCACCACTATCAAAATGTAGGAGAATTCTAGGCTAGGTACCAAACATAGCATCCAAAGAAATTTATCATTTTTCATGCAAAACTTGGAACATTTAAGGATCCTTCCTGTTATTTTTCCCATCTATCACTCATTAGGGAGCTCACTTGGGAATGCCTTGCAACTAGAGCAGCCTCATCTCAGGAAGAAAATTCTTCTTGATGCATTATTTCAGGCTCCACCAATGTTCACTAGATGTTGCAGAAACCATGCCAGGGAAATAAAACACTTTCTGAAAAACAAAACCCAAGGCACCAGCTACACAAAGACTTTCTCATATTTTATTCACTCAGAAAATATCTGGGCCAAAAAATCTGCCCTCAGACCTGAGAGTGCAATATTCATTGGCCGCTTTAATGTCGGTATCAGAGGAAAAATCTGATCCTCTTTTTTTGGAGTGACACAAGGCGGCTTCTCTGTGCAGCCATTAAAGGTCTAGTCCAAGTTTCTCACCGCATAGCTATGTGAACCTAAAAACAAACTGGACATTAATCTTTGTCCAACTTCTAGCAGCACTGATTCTCTTTGTGGAAGATATTTGATCATGCTCAAACAACAGAAGACTTCAGTGTAATATGCTGTCCCAAATGTAGAAAATAATCCAGCCTCCCCATTTTCCTCTCTTCTATGTATTATCAAATCAGAGCTGCAATTCGGGTACACAAGGGTTTCTGAAGTACTTAGTGTTAGGTATTAGGGCAACGATGTTCTGTGGTCTGTAGAACCGAGGTGTGATACGAAGAGGGTACCTTTATAAAGATAAGCACATCCTCAGCCCTGTGGGCACTGCATTACAGACGGTAATTAAGGCCGGTGGTAATGTGCTGGTAATTAGTGCTTGTTTAGGAGAAGCAACCATTTGACAGATGAAGGAAGCAGTCTGATCTGCCACAAAAAATGTCGCCTTCCGATTAGAACCAAGTGGTACTCACAGGTGGAACTCTAACCGGTGGATCTCCCATTGCTGCTGTCTCATGCATTTATTTCAAAAAAAAAAAGGGGGGGGGGAAATCCCAAAACAATACAAAAGGTATTTTGCCCCTTTGAGAAACTACTTCCCTTGTCCCCTTCACCAGCACTGATCGTTGCTTTTCAAAAAAACACAGCATAACATTTTTTTGTCTCATGAGACATTTTCCTGCTCTTAATTTTTCAGCAAAATCATTAATTTCATGGGGCTTTCCACATTCACTTTTCACAGGGCTCACTGCTTATGAAGAGCTGCCAAGAAACATGCTTAGGCTTTTCTCTAGCCTTCCACACGTCTCAGAACGAAGCCAAAACAACAATAGAGCAATAAAAATGACTTTTACACACAGTTTAATAATCATCTTTCTTTTTTTCCATTCTGCGCTGTCATGAGAGCTATATACTTCATGCCACATTAGACTTTTAAAACCAGGATCCAAGTTACACTAATTCTCCTTAATCGGTAAAAGCGAGATTGGATGCAGTAATAGTATTTTACTTATCTGTAAGTAAAACTGCAGTTCTGAAAAGACAACCTCGACCGATTTGCACTCAAGTTAGATGATTTTTTTGTTTCATATGTCAGTTGGGTGATACTTTGTTCTCTCGTTCAGGTATTCATGAAATAATTAATAATGCAACATAGAAAATTTTATCATTAATGTGAGTGAAGCTTTTGTAGGGCCTGGAAGACTAAAAGCAAAAATGCTGTCAAGAATTTCACAATATTACTGGAGAAAAGGAAAGTGCTTACAGTGAAGAAAGGGTGAAGAAAGCCTGGCCTTTATCCACAGAGCAAACTTTTACGGGCTGCACAGGGAGAAGATAGGTATTTGAGTGGTTAAATAGCATGTCGCAATTTTCTGAACTTTGCCAGGTAAGTCAGAATGGAACTCTTCTCTTTACTGCTAATAAAACACTACTGAACTGTTTTTCTCATAAGAGATTACTCATTTTATATCTAATAACTTGTATCGGAAGAAATGTTTTTTGTGTTTTGTTTTCCCCTTCTCTCTTTTCAGTTATTAAAAAGAAGTCAGTGCCAATTGGAAATTTCAGGAGAACACAGAACCTAAAAATGGTTGGGTGGAACAGACATAGGATGTTCCTCCAAGAAAATAATTCAGTTAGGAATGTTGTTGATGTTTGATGAAAACGATTTGAGGCTCTTCTTAGAAAATAAAAAAAATGAATTTTTTACTTCCAAACTGTTTCAACTCGCAATGAAGAAAAGAGAAACTCTGTGAAAATCCTTCAGTAGCAAATGCACTCGGCTGCCATGTTAGACACCAAAACACTTCTGTGGTTTGTGCCAGCCTTTCAGGGCTGGCAGGTGGGACACCGGACACACTGTAGACTCCTGCCCGTCGGAACGGTGGGATGGGGAATGGGGGTTGCGGTCCCTTCATAACGCTCTGTCGCT